CAATAATGTCTCGATAGTGCAAGGTTTATCAACACGGAGAGTGGAATCAATAAGACGGAATCAAATACCAGTCAAATCTGTTGCGTTCATTTTCACACAAATGCTTTTTGAAATGGTGGAAATTCGTCTCTTCACCTACAGCTATTAGTTAAATAGAAGACTGAACTCTTTAATTATGGTTCGTAACCAGTGGAATGACAAGTATAGATTAAAAGTCTTACGACCATATCACGTTGAAACATTTGTTCCCGTACGATCACAGAAGTTGAACAACGTCGAGTCTAGTCATTACGTAGATGAGTGAACGCTTGCGAATACCAGACGCTGTAGGCTTGGGTGTGCGGGTGGTATAATAATAGTGTCACGGAATTGTTAATCGGAGAACCGGGTTCCAATTCCAGTGGGGCTCGATATATTTATATACGCGCAAATGACATTGGAAAAAGTGTAAATCCACCTCATCTCCCTCCATCTATGGGTTAATTAATAAGACGCGTATCACTAAATAGTTATTATCTCCCACCGCAAAAAAACTGAATATGTGGAGAGTCATGTTCAGCTATGTTTTGAAGAGATATGATATCATATATCCCGTTCGCCATTGAGAATTTGGGAAAAAGTCAATGTGTTGCAAGTCAGCAGTTGGGAAAAGTGGACAACCAGTGAAGAATAAAGACCTAAAAACCGCAAATAGAAGCTTCATTTCTAGACGAGTGAATGTAGTGAAGTTTAATAGCGTTTTCTTTTTTAGCTCAAAACTCTCGCTCATTAAACTCTGTTTCTACCTTCGCTTTGGTAGTCTATTTTCAGGTTTGGTAAAACTTGAAATTACTGTTCGGGTAGTCGTTTGTGGCCTCTCACTTGTAAATAGGTAAGACAATATTATATACCGTAAATTAACGCGCACATGTTTTCAAGCCTAAAATATATTTTTGGGTCACTGCTAGCCTATCAATGTTTGGAGGCCGAAGAACGTAACAGCCAAAATGCTTTGTTAAAAATAAACAAAGCAACTGATTAGAAAATATGAGGAATAATGAAAATAACTTCATAAAACATATATTTATCGTAAATTGCGGCGTAAATTCGAGCTGCCGTTTAAGTCGACTTCATAATTTTTAGCCTAACATTCATTTTTAACCGAGTATTTTGGTTGATATGATACTTTTCTCATGTCGAATCTGGCAGTGTTTATCCACCTAATAGTTCCGATGTAAACACGATATTCCAAACATGCTTCACGAGGATTTTAAAATGACGAACACGTTTTAAAAGACTAAAGGTTATGATATATACATGAAGAAAGTCGAGGAATAAATCAGCCGAAATATTGTGATAAAATAGAAAAATGCGAAAAATTAACAATAAAGTTGGAATATATTTGCAAGAAAAATCTTTACAAAAAGAAATTAATATAACTCGAAATTACAAGATGTTCTTATAATAATTTTCTAATGAATCTTCATTTTTGTGTTGATGATTAAATAAGTTCATGTCGAGTTTCATGACTATAAAATAGCCGTACGAGTTATCCTATTACTTTATTAAATGTTTGATATTAACTACTTACAGTATTACAATAACAAGCATAATGCAGGGAATTATTTCAACAAGCCTATGACTTGTTTGTATTATGCTTTCCAAGCTCTCTTTCCTTATAATGTGTAACAAAAAATATATGTGTTCTTATAGTTCCAATTTTATTTAGAACGATTTCGTTGTAAACCCACCCTGTACGTGGAAAGCGATTTCATATGATACCTTTTTTCTTCATAAGAATTCGATGCCAATTCTAAATTGCGAATATTTACATAAGTTCACTTGTGGCTTTTCTGCCATTTTAGTAATATCCAAAATTAATTGGTATTGCTAGAATACTTTGCCATTTCCAAACATTTTATTATTATTTTTATGTCTTTTCAGCGTGGATGGACTTTAACTGATATCGTAATTCGAGCAAGGTAAATATTGGAAACTCCCTTTATATTAATAATGAATAAATAAACGCAATATTAGTGAATGAAGATCATTTCCCATAGATCAAAACGTCTGGTTTTTCGCTTCCATGATTCTTCTCTGAGAATCGTTTTATTGACATTATACATTCTTGCAGGCTGAGTTAAGTTGTCAAGGAGCGGATTAATTGTCTAGAGTTCAATAATAATTACACATACTCATAGCACAGAAAATCAAACACACTGAGACTAGCAAGCTAAGCTCGTTAACCACATTAGTGCGGTAAGTTTTCTTATGTATTTACTTGGCTAAGCAAAACTCGCCGTACAGTCTTTCGTGATGATCGAACTCACGTGTTCCAGTAATATTAACTGTTTCTATTTATATATATAATTGTCCATTTCTTCAGTGAAACTTCCCTGTTACTCACATGTTCTGCCCATGATATTTTCGCAACAAGTCTCTTCATCATCTGTGGAAGTGTATCAGCATCCATTGACATGTAGGAAATGATATATTAAGTAGTGTTTCAGCATTTTTCTTTCTTTAAAAGATATTTTTCTCATTCTTAATACTTTGTTTGGTGTTTTGGAGACAGCGTCCACTATATTAATTTTATTTTAATATCTCAGCCCTTCGAGGTATTTCTGTCTCCATCATGTTAGTCCTTTCCTCTCCTTTTCCTTTCCAACAGAGGCTTTATCGCTATTTCCATGAGAAGTGTTCAGATGAACTACATTCCTTTATTTCACCAATTATAACCTTCCTGGCTAATATAAGCTATGCCTGGCATAATGAAGCAAACCGCACTCATTCCTTTATATTTCATAAGTGGGAACTAAGTTCCAATCAAGCAGCTTCTTTCCACAAACCTCCGCTTTCTGGAACCGATTCACAAGAGAATTCTTCCACGATCACTACAATCTTAATCTGTTCATTTGATTTATTAATCCGTTTTCTACGGCTTAAACTTTCACAAGTTATTTAAAGCCAGAAAATATCTTTTGGGGATTTTAAGAATTTTTGAGAGATAATAATGATTTAGTCATGCAAGCCATACTAAATAATCCATAGCTGGATGGAGAAGAGTTGGATTCATACATTTCCCAAGAGTATTTACGCATAACTGAATATAACCAACGCGATTGGAATTGGTACATGGCTCTTCGAATAACAATTCTGAGTTGTATATCTATTACATCATCCGCTCATCCAAGATTATAGCACCAGGTAGTTACAAGCGATCCAGGTACTGACCAGGTTCGACGTTGCTTAACTTCAGTGATCGTACGTAACCGGTGTTTCAACGTCGTATGGTCGTAAGCCTTATCCTGTTCAAGTTTAAGGTTAAGTTATCTTCCCAGCATTTCGCCATAAGCTGTGCCTTTTGGTCTGTCATCCTCTACATCGAGTGGTTCTTGGGCCTTATTCAAGGTGAAAATTATTATAAAAAATATCTTGCAGTTATTTCATTTTTCGGAGTTTAACGCCAATAAAATGTCATCTGCATATTTTATGTTCTTAGGACTATGTCCGCTATTACATTCTGGGGAGTTTTCTAGTTCTTGCTCTACAGGTAAAATAAATCCACTAAGGAAATGCATCCTTGGATGTCAGTTATCTCCTGTTAATTCGCCTCTCCAAGTTCTCCACTGCCTTAACCGAGTATTGAACTCACACTCTTTGTCACTGGATATAACCAATGCCTTTATCCACTGTGCCATGTGCCCTTGAGAAATTTCTGGGTAATATAAACCTAATGTCTTCAGCAATCATTTTTTACCGGTGCTCATATTGCAACTTTTGCTGTTATCATTGTATATTTTACCAGATCTCATATTGCAATTTTTGTTGTTATTATCGCTTTTCTCTGGCACTCTTTATTATTGGTTCCGATATTGTATTCATTTCTATGCTTGGTCGATTCAGATTTTTGTGGCCTAGCATGTGTGCTGATTCCTTAAATTTACGAATTTTCCAACTGTGTCTATGATTTCAATCTGATACCAAAACGGACGGTGATCTCCTTTTTCTCTATATATGTGGTCAGCCACGGCTGATTTTTCCACTTCTCATCGTGTTGCAGGTTTCTGGTGTTCTGGAACCCTTATCTTAGCTGCATGGGATAGCGTACACACAGATGATTGTGTCGAAGTTGAGACCCTTGTTTAGCACTGACTCCTCAGAGGTAATCAGCTGGTGTTGACTGATGTTGATTACTGGTTGGTGATGGACCTTGTGTCATCTTCTGATCTTAAAAATCTAGTTAATTTTCATACTTACTGGGTCTTGACAGCATCGTATTTGAAGGATTTATCCAAGTCGTGATGGATCCTCTTTCTGTCTTTTTCGCCGGTAATTCTGTTGAAGAAAGCCTCGAGCCTTTGAGAGATATCAGATTATAGTTCCGGTTTTATCCAGCGATTGTACTGGATTCTCTCTCGAATAAGGACGTGTCTCACTTTCTCTGCGACCAGTGAAGGTCTCCTTGAATTGACGGCGAATCTTGGTGCCAAGCCAGAATATCGTTGACAAAGGAAGAAAAAGTTCGCTTGTATTTACAAGTGTTAAGCTCCAAATTAGATAGATATTCCATAATAATTAGTCAGACTTGTATCACTAAATCGCTATTATGTTCCCACCAAAAATAATAATATTATTATTATTATTAATTATTAATTATTATTCGAGCCGAGAACCTTCCGTGCATATTAACATTATTAACCAATACTGTTTACGGGCTTTTGGAAAGACACACGAAAGACTACTGACATTTTTCTCACTTTCTCGCTGATAGAGTCACGCATGGGGTGCAAGATGGCGCCGTGTGACTTCGAAGAAAAAGTTGGAGAAAATTTAATTGATTACCTGAACGATATTTTGATACTGAACTTGAACATAGAAATTTGTAGCAACTGTTTTGAATAGAAGTCAGAGAAAGGGTAAAGGATCGAAGTTTGAAGTACAAACAATACAGAGAAGTAAAATAATAGCACTTGAACAATACGGGAAGTTTAAATGATAGTAAAAAATAAATACAAAACACGAAGACGTGACAAAAGAAGGAATGAAAGAAGAGAGGAAAACGTAAAATAAAGAAAGAATGAATGACGAAAAAAGTAAAAAGGAATGGAAGGGGAAAAATGTAAAGAAGAAAAATGAAAAACACAATCTAGAAGAATATAAAGAAAGGCTAAAAAGGAAGAAAAACAAAGAAGGAAAGAAAGGGAGATGGATAATTAACTGAAAAAAAAGATGAAACGCTGCTGCACAGTAAAGAATAAAACTGAATGAAAATGAAAGGAAGAAAAAGAATTAAAGGAAGAAAAAGAAAACTGAATGTGAACAAGAAAAAGTAAGCGCTACTTTTATAGGATGGGCATATAGAATGACCTCAAAGTACGATTAAGAATATGGAAGTTCAAGACAGGTAGATAAGCACCAACTTGCGGAAAATTATTCAGAATAGGATTTTGCATAACAATGATACTCTATTAGTAATCCTACCGGATTATACCAAATCCATTATCCCTCCCCCTCCATTCTCCCAATCCATCTATTTCAAATCGAAGTACTGGTTGAATTTAAAGTCGTAGGTGGAATTTATTTTAGAATAATTTGTTTTATTAATTGTTTCACTAATGAAGAGAACTGTCCTATAATTCACACAAACAAAATTAAGCTGTAGATGTTTGAAAAGATTATGGAAGGTTTGGTTGTAATCGGGATTCCATAGATGGCTTTTTCTTTAAAAAAAATCCTTCTGACAGCTCTTCCTGAAAATATATTTCGGGTCGGAACAAAATACTGTTGCACTTTGAAGTGAATTTATTTGCACATAGATTTATTCAGCCACAAACCTGATATTTTATTCAACTGCATCTTTCTGGTCTAAGTTGTTTTTTTATAGGCTTTCGTATAAGTGAAGTAATTTTCTTCCAATTAAAGAAATTATTGTAGGGATTTAAATAAGTAATAATCCGAAAGTACAAAGCCAGATGAGTACGACAGATATAATAGGCCATCGCAGTTCAGCTATTTAATTCTTTACTTTGTCGAGAAAGAGACGCAAGGTAGGGCATTTTCCTTGTAAATTCCGGGCGCTTTTAAATGGTACATTTAGGAACAGTACTTGTCTGAATTCGTATTACACATCTCCTTCCACATTCAACCAAATACTTTCTTCCCATTAAAACCGGCTTTTCAGTTTGTCCAGGAAATTTTTTGATAATGTGATCGTATTTTTTTTCTTCCATTTTTTTCAAAGAATCTCAGACAGAAATGGCTTTCATTATTTCTTTTGTTTAATCATGAAGGCTCCAGAGTTTATACAGATTCAGGTTTATCCAAATATTTTCAAATACATTACATCTCTCATATGAACAATGCATTAAATGCATTACAAGTTTCATATGACCTATGTGGAATATCTATCCTATGCCCATGTCGTGTAACCTGGTTTAGTCTTAATTAGTGTTTCAATTTGATCAACATTAACGATTGTTGTCCAGTTATGCTCCTAGCGAAATATTACTCTCAGCTAGTAAACCATCTCAATCAATGGAACATGACTGTTTTTTAAGAAAAGTTTATCAAATGACACACATGTATCTCAGTTACGTTAACTTTGTACTTTTGGTACATGTTGGCTTGAATGGATTTAGATTGATTCATTTGGTGAGTGCGTCTGTTAAAGTGAATGCGTAGCGAATCGGCTTAGATACGTGTAGGATAGTGTCGACCAGTCTTTTCCCCACTTCCTCTTTTGCCTTTTGCCGAAAACTAATATAATTATTGGTTAAAGAAGCAATTGCGTACACTGTTATCTTTTATGGTAAAAACATTTAACGTTCTTAATCTCCATCCGAGTCGTGGCTCGAATGGTGATTTGGACGACGCGGATGGAAGGAATCTTGCGATACGAAGGCTATTCTCATCAGGTTCTTGTCGGATTCTCTCAGCACCTGTTGATGGTGAAGATTAGAACTGATAGAAAGCGTTTTTCATTGCAGCGAAAAGTGGGTGAAAGTAACTAGCTTGGTTTGTGTAAAAGAGACTATAGTCCTTTTTTTAAGTCCTGTTGGTCATAACGGGGTGGTTTCCTTGGAACCATCCACCTGGTTAAGTTAGACACTATTTGTTTTCCTAGTTAATGTGAATAAGTGTTGCTTCCGGCCTGTTCTTGGTATTTTTTTTATTATCCATTTCGAGATTCTCAGACTCCCCAGTTTGTTCTTTTATTTTTTTCATGTTGCCTGTCTTTGATTTTCCCATTCCGTCATTTATTTTTACCTTTCCTACTCCATTAGTGAGTGTGCTATTTGATTCTGTCTATAGTCAGAATAGAGCGGCCAGTCTTATTATTTTGATGATCGATCAAATATAAAGAGAAAAACATTTTACCAAATTATCCCGATTTGCTGTTGGGAATAGAGAACCTCATCATTTGGACTTTAATCATAAATTTGCTCCTATCCAATTTAGTCTCTTGGTTGTTGGGGAAGAAAGAATGAAAAGAAAATAATTTCTTTAATCTTGCATCCAATCTGATACTCACTAATCAACCAATTTATCGTCACTGCAAACAAACACACACTTAGCTTACCGACCCATAATTAGTGTACAGGTTGACGATTCAGTAGAGAGATGACTACATTGAACAATCTATGCATGATCAAGGATTTTTCCAAAAGGGCTTTTGATTCAATCCTTTTTTTATGATTCATCTTAACTCGTCCAATTTCCATTTGTGTTTTATGTAACTTTCATTGAGCGCTGTGTTTGTAGTGTCTACAACACACATACACACACATATATATATATATATATATATATATATATATATATATATATATATATATAGAGAGAGAGAGAGAGAGAGAGAAACAGACAGACAGACAGACAGACAGATTCAAACAGGTTTCGTTAAATAACTTACATATATCATATCGATTAGTTTTCAAGTTCGCGGATTATTTTCTTCATAGCTTTAGAAAATTGATTAAGGAAAATACCAAAATTTTCTTTCAATTAATTTTTATATTCAAAATTACATTCAGTCTCATCTGAGACAAATCATCAGAGGTTTGTCTTTGAATATGTATATGTGTTTCTGTAAATTCAAAGTATTTCAAGTGTTTGTATTTATTGCTTATGCAACATTCTCGATTTCAAAGTTTACGTTTTTTTATATGTAAGATATCTCGTGAGATAATAGTTCCGACCTGTTTTATCAAAATTCACTCTTTTGGTGGTGAGACATAAATGATCATTCCAGGTCTCAGGCATTGGCGGTAGTATATGGAAGCCGTGCGCTGTCTAGACCACATAGCCCTCCCTCTGAGCAGTACCGACAAGATCCAATGGATTTAATGGATATTGCAGGAATTGATGAAAGTCATAGCTAGCATCATACCCACTGGACCACCGGTAGTGGATGCGCGCTGCTGATGATTCCCAAAAATAGGACGAAATGATCGTCCAGTGCTTTATGCATTCTGTTGAGGATTCTTCTAACTCCATGAATTGATTATGATATATATATATATATATATATATATATATATATATATATATTGGATTGATGTGAGTTTGTGACCCTGGGTTTCACGCTTTTGCGATACCCTGACGATCGCAAAAGCGTGAAACCCAGGGTCACAAACTCACATCAATCCAACCAAATATGTTAGATATATCTCTGACATTGAGCGCTTTCTAATAAGGTGGAGGTTTTCGGACGCCCTGCTTTTTCTCCCTGCTTCACGATTGCCAGCCATTTTTAAAGTTCTCGATTTAATCATACACACTTCTACGTCGCAGTCAATTGTCGCCGAATTGTGTTAAAAGGCCCCGATGAATTTCAACCCCTGACTTAGGTTCCGACCAGAAAAATCGGATCACTGCTCTTTCTTCCTCCTTGGTGAACACTATTATCGTAGTGACACTGTTTACACAGTAAGTCCAGCATGAAAACTGGCGCGATTATGGTCAACCTTCGATCACGGGACCTTAATAGTATCTACTATATGCACGCATGAACAGAGGATAGCATACCAAAACTAAAGATATGTTATGGCCTAAGTGATGATAATTTTTAATTTACCCTCGTAAGTAAAACTCCTCTACGGGTTAAATTAATTTCTTTTGAAAATGTTGAATTTATTTTATTTTAAACATCTTCATCCACATCAGTCGTAACAAGTCGTAACTTCTAAACTGGTGAACAATAGAAATCTCGTCTATTTCAAATTTTCTAGCACTATTCGCTATATTGTTTTAGACATAACAGCACACTGCGCCATGGACCTTAATCTCAATGCCATTCACAGGTAGTTCAAAATATTTAGCGTTGTTGAGCATCTTTCATTTGTCAATAATCATTGCCTTTATTTACACACAGGTTCTAAGTCAGCGAGTATTTACAGTCTTATGGCTAAAAGAGATAAAATGTATAAAAAATATTGCTAAAGTTTAACTTACAACTTTCCATTTATGTGTCTTGCGATTGTTAAATGCAGCGAATGATCTGAAACAAATTAATTAAAATAAGTGTAAAGATGCTGCCAAGTGGTGTGTTACAAAAAATAACCTTGTTGTATCTAGAGACAAAATCAAGTTCATACTTTGTGAAGTAGATCTCATCGATTATTTTTCAGAACACCTCCAATTTCTTTAGGTCTATCTATGCTCCTTAATACACACAGATTTAGTATTTTGAAAGTAATTATTGCAAGAAGGTTTAGAGAATATAAAGCTCTCAAAACATATGAAATGTGTCATCTAGTATTTACAGAATTTAAGGGCAAAAAGAGATAAAATATATAAAAATATTGGTAAAGTTTAACTTAGAACCAGGTAAAAAAAACAAAAAAAACAACAAAATAGTGTGTCAAAAGCATTTTCTCTTGGCGGCGGTTTCTTTAGAAAAGGACTTTAGAAAAAAACTAGTATTATTATGGTTTTATTAAAAATAAAACCATATCAAGACCAGCTTATAATATGGTAGATAATAAATATTTAATCTTAGTCTGTTCACATAATTTTTTATAATCTTGTAAATATACAATTATTCTTCTAGTTCAATATAAGTATATCTTTTGTAATAGTGTCAATAAATAATTTATCGTTCACAAATTAAATTCTGTACCCTTGTAAAATATTGTCATTGTTCTTTTATAATTCTTTTAACCTGATGAAAAGTAAGAATCAAATAAAAACATAGCGTTTAAATATTTCTCGTCAATTCTCCAAACAAATTCATAAAAATACTTTTTTTCAAAACAGCAATAAAAATAACCGATGAAGTATACGTTAATACTGGTGTCAAAAGAAAAAAAAATGCCATTTGACACAGCATTCTTTTTGCTTGGACCTAAGATTGAACTTTACCAAAATATTGTATTACGCCAATCATTCAAGTGAGATAGCTTGTCTAATTCGACCATTAGCCTTTGAAACTTTGGCTTTGAAATGATCCTGAACAAAGACCACAGTTACCGATGGGAAATTGGCAGAGACTTCAACTCT